GGGGGGCTGCTCCGGCTGGGTTGGAATGGTCCCCAGCCCAGACCTCGTGTTAGCTGGTTACTGGTTAAACGTAACTGACTCACGAGGGTTGGACAACCCCAGCACTACCCTGCCCTTGTCCTCCCATGGACCGTAGAGACATAAGAGCCAGCGCCACGCCAGCTGGGGCGCCCGCTGTAAGGACCGCCGGGCACAAGGGGCTCCCTGCTCCTGTGAAAGACCCTCCCGCCCCAGGGCCTGGCTCCAAGGTTAGCTGGTTACTGGTTAAACGTAACTGACTCACGAGGGTTGGACAACCCCAGCACTACCCTGCCCTTGTCCTCCCATGGACCGTAGAGACATAAGAGCCAGCGCCACGCCAGCTGGGGCGCCCGCTGTAAGGACCGCCGGGCACAAGGGGCTCCCTGCTCCTGTGAAAGACCCTCCCGCCCCAGGGCCTGGCTCCAAGGTTTCAGCGCCTCGATCGGCCGAGCCAGGCGCGGGCAGGAAAGCACAGCTGCGCTGCCATCTCAGCTCACTCGTCCTGCGCGGGGCTCTGGGCACTCCCTGAGTCATGCAACCCCCTTGTTCCAGCACCATCGCTGTGGCGCCAGCTTTGCCGTTAGTCCGAAGCCAGGCAGGAGAGTCGCCTGATGATTTGTTTGGGGCCTGTAGATTCCCAGCGACTCGTCGCCATGTCAGGGGCCCGGGCGAGGGGAAGGGTTAAAAGGGAAAAGTTTATGCATCTAAAAACTCATAATTTCCTATAACATTTGCTGAATGTCTCCCAACTTATTAAGTGAAGCCATCTATGAATGCAAATGCTGATTAGCAATTTGGCAATAGCCCAACATTTGCAGAATTCACAGAGCTTTTCTTTAAACCAGTAGTTCATACATGATTAATTAGAACATCTCATTTATGTAGTGTGCACTTTAGCTCATTACTCTAAGTAAAATTCGTTAAGTATTTACATTTAGATAATTAAAATCTGGGTACACCCTTAAGAAAGATGCATACACTTCAGGCAAAGTGATTTTTTTTCTTTACACTACGGAAAGTAAATTACAGGCTAATTTACATCCTTGCTGCGCGCTTTGGAGACAGCCCTCCGACAAGGCGCAGCGCCTGGCCTCGAAGGGGCGCAAGGCTCTCGGTGCGCAGACCAGGCCCGGCTCCTGGGCCTGGCTGCGTCTCCCTGAAGACGGCCGGGCGGTGCTGAGTCAGGGGTCATGATTCCCGCTCTGTCCACAGGCGGCGCTCAACGTAAGGATGTTAAAATACTGTTAATTGACTAGTCGATGGAATTTCCATTGACTAGTCGACAAGCACTTCTGCATTCCTCCTGTGAAATGTACAAGAGCTCCGGCTGAGGCTCTTGCACATTTCAAAGGAAGAACGCAGAATACCGTGTACAGCCCGGGGCCAGCGCGAACTCCTGCTGACTCCGGGCTGCACGTGGGATGCCTGTTTTGAAATGTACAGGAGTCCCCAGCAGGGGCTCTTGTGCATTTCAAAGCCATGGAGCCCAGTGTCAGCGGGGGATGCTGCTAGGAGCCCGGGGTCAGCTGAGGACTCCCAATCCATCCCGGATTCTGGGGAAATGCCATGGGGAGCATGGGATCAGCTGGCGAGTCCCCAGCTGACCCCTGGGCTCCACAGCTGCCCCTTTGAAAGGCGCAGAAGTGGCGTTTAAAGGGGCAGCTGACACATAGCTGATCCGCGGACAGCGCTGCTACTTTGAAGTACCCCTTTTCCCCTCTTTTCTGCCTCCATCTCATAGAGGCAGCAAGGGGGGGAGGAATATCGACCAGTCGACTAGTTCAAAGACTATCAGTTAAGCAAATGCTTATCAGATAGTTGACCAGTCGACTAGTCTTTTACATCCCTAGCTCCTACATCCTAGCCTGGCTGCATCTCCCTGAGGACAGCATGGCTGGCAGCGCCGGCGCTGCGTCGGGGTCACAATTCCCGCTCCGTCCACAGGCGGCGCGCCGCGGGCCTGGCCTAGCGAGGGAGGTGGCAGAATTAACCAGGCCAGCGAGGCTTTCTGGGCTTGGGGGGTCTCCAGTCGCGAGAGGCTGCGCTTGGTTTTTCCTTTCCACATTTTCCTTCCCTTGGATTTAGTTTGATGGCTTGAAACCACCCAAGGACAGGGCCCCCGGGGGTTTGCCCACCCTTCCTCCAGCCGAGAGAGACCAGGCGTGGACCTCGGCTGAGATGCAACGGCTCCGCCCCCTCCCAGGGAGGGGGAGACTGGGACCTGCCCCCAGCCACTGCTGGTTGTTCCTCTTGTGCTGCTTTCCCTGAAAAATACTTGGTGCTAAGGAAATAGCCTGGGCCCAACATTCACCACCGAGCAGCCTCGTGTCCATGGGATCGGTGGCCTTTCTCCAAAACACTGTCTGTGCGGAAATGCCGGCAGTGAAAGTATCTTCCGGCATTTCTTCCCCCGTGAAGCTATTTCCAAAAGGGTGTTAAACTCCCCTCCAAAAGGCTCGGATAATTCACTCTCTTCCCCAGATCCGGAGAGCCCAGGAGCCGTGAGAGCCAGGTGTTCCACGCGGGAAGGCTGAACTCACACACTCTTCCCATTTGAAAGCTGCAGAGAACGTCCTGATTTCTGGAGACGGGCCCCTTCTCGCAGTGGGGAGCGACGTGCTGCGTTGGAGTGAGGGGAACGGCCTGATTCTAATTTCACGCCCACCGCTGTGCGCCACTGAACCTCCGTGGATCTACTCCTGAGTGCCCAGGGAGGAAATCAGGCCCCACGAATGTGTCACGTGGCCTCGATCTATCCTCAGTTGCAACATCCAAGCTGCCTGAGTCTTTTCTTGCTTCTGTTTTTCAAGCCTCTTTGGTGCCCCGAGCAGGTTGTCAGGGCCGGCCTCCTTACCCAGCTCCGACCCCCAGCAGGGCCACGCGAGGATGCCCCAGCCTGCGTCACGGCTTCAGCGAGAGTTGTGGGGCGCGGGCCAGGACAAGAGGGAGAGGGGCTCAGCCCCACCCCTGGAAGCCATTCCCCAAACGCTATTCTGCCGCCCCGCCCGGCGGGGGGGGGCTGCCGGGCGTCCAGGCATCACCCGATTTGGGGTGAATTCCGGAGACATCTGGGAAGGTGGGAAGCAGGTTCCCAGCTGCTCGGGGAGGCCTGGGACCCTTCAGTACTTTTGCCTCCAGCAAAAATGTGTTTCAGTGTAATTATAGACGATAGCTTCCAACATGTAATCTCTGTTCCAGCGGCTGCAAGTGATGGAGAGAACTGCCAGCATCCAACCATGTCTCCTGCCACGAGGCAAGGGGTGCTGCTCGTGGCATGATACCCCCTTTAAGTGCATTCCCCTAACTGGCAACAAAGGTCGGAGTCAACTGCGTCTGGGAGCGTCTGTGCAACGGGCTGGGGGCAAAGACGAGGTGAACGGAGCCCTTTGTGGGGCAGCCTGCTTCGCCACGGAGCCTGGAGCCGAGTGCCGGGAGGATCCCGCCGCAGGCCAGGAACCGCCTTTCGGAAGCAGGCAGCCGATGAGGGGAGGAGAGCAGAGGCATGACCCACGTGGGGGGGGCGCCTCCCGTCTCAAGGCAAACAGGTAGCAGAGAGGCTGCTGCAAGCTTGGGAAACGGTCGCATTTGCGGAGCGCCGACGTGGCTGGCATCAGGCTCAGCGGGGAGAAGTTCCTTTCGGATCAGCTCCGCCTCCTCCCTTTCCTAGCAGCACATGGGCCTGGCTCGGGCCAGATGGCTACGGCATTTCGGCGGAAACCTTTGTAAACGGAGCCGGTCACATTTCCCCACCTCTCACAGCCAAAGAACACCTCCCGGGACAGGATGAGCGCAGCCCTGGAACTCATCCTTGCCCCAAATCCTGCCCCAGCCTCTCGGCCTGGGATTTACACAGGGCTTTAATTCACTGCGGGGTGGCTTAGCTAGCTCAACAGAGCAGAGGGATGTCTGTATCATGGCGTCGCTGCCCAGCAGAGCTTGGGGCCTTGCACGGGCTGTGGCTTTATGGAGAAGGAGGTTGGAGCAAAGTCACTCCTGACGGCCTGGCCCCGCCACTGTAATGAGACAGTGAGGGATTTTGCTGGCCACAGACAGGGCGAAATGGCCACCCCGTGAACAGGCCTGGCCCAGTGCCCCAGCACCAAAGGCTCTGTCCACAAGTCCAGCAGAACGCAGCCGGGCCTGCACCCGAACGCCTCCTCCGCACGCCGCTGCCCTCCCCATCTCCGGCATCCTGTCTGCACCCTGTCACCCCAACGGGACCGCCAGGGGCCTTGAAGGGGTCAAGCCAAGAGGCTGCCAGTCAGCGGCTGGGCGGCGGC